ATATCACATATACTTCAGGTCAAGGGTCAACAGGTCATGTCATCAAAGGTCACATAAAGGTCATGACGCGCGCGTATGTGCGCGTCAAAATTTAAAATTGCTCATAATCACTTAACTACTAAAGGAGAGTACGAATCAGGTCATTTTAAGCATTTCAAAATTTTCCGTCCGTACTTGTCCCCGCGCGCGGTGCGCGCGCTCACAGCGCGCGGAAAAGGTCAAATTCAAAATGCTTACATGATTTGGATTCCTCTTAACGTAATTGACAATTTACATTAATTTCAGTCACTTTTCATATTTCATAAGGCCGTGAGCGTGCGTCAAAGTTCAAAATCCGCGCGTACTGCTATGGGCAATATAATGCAAATTTGATCAAAAACATGCTACTTTATGAATCGAAATAGCTCTTCAGATAGTCCATTGACCCCCAATTTTTATATCATGGTTGGAGAAAGCATGAGTTGGAGATACGATTTCATACCACAATGACTCGTACAAAGTGAAATAAAGTCATCATATTGGCATCTAAACTCAAACAAATGTATTTCGTTGATGACGTCACTTTTGTCTTTGTTTAATTGAGATTATCTCGCTTATCAGTGATCGATTTTCTCCCAGATTTCGATATATTGTAGCTGAGATAATTTCCTATCAGAAATATATCATTTATTTTCATTTAGATGACGTCATCATAGTTAAATATTAGATTAAATGCGACAATGCATAATTTGTCATATTTGCGTGTTATGTCTATGGGAGGTCACTTTTTTCAAAACATGAATCTGCATGACAATGTGTTTTGACCAGTATCTCGGTTGTTATTCAACAGTTTTCTCCCAAATTTTAGTATTTTGTAGCTGAGACTATTTGCTATTTAAATATTTCCTCATTTTTTCAATCAGATGTCAGGATCATGCTCATGCTCATCATCGTCATCATCATCATCAATATTATCATCATCATCATCAACATCATCAATGTCACCATCATCATCATCATCATGGTCTAAAAATGATCATCATCAACATCACCATGATCATGATCATTATCATCATCATCATCATCATGGTCTGAAGATGATGATCATCAACATCACCATGATCATGATCATTATCATCATCATCATTAACATTATCGTTTTTATCATCATATAACATCATTATCATGATCATCATCACCTTTACTATCATGATTATCATCATGTTCATCATGATCATCATTGTTTACATGTCTATATAACTTCTCCCATTCTCAAATCTATCATAAGACTTAGACAGACCACCTTATTCGTCTTCGTGACGAATTAAATTTCTAGTTATTATTATTATTATTATTATTTATTTTTATTTATTTCTCCCCCCTTTTTTGTTCAGAGGATAACTCAAGATCAGTTCAGTCAAAGTCGTTCAATTTCGGCACAGTCATAGGTCATCATTATGAGACGTGACAGGAACATTTTCAAGGTCATCAAATTATCGTGACGTCATCCAGGTGCCATTTTGTGAAATCACATTATCCATCATATCTTCATGACGCGTCATCAAAGGTCATTTATATTAATATAACACATACTTCAGGTCAAGGGTCAACAGGTCATGTCATCAAAGGTCACCTAAAGGTCATGACGCGCGCGTCAAAATTTAAAATTGCTCAAAATCACTTAACTATTAAACGAGAGTACGAATCAGGTCATTTTAAGCATTTCAACATTTTCCGTCCGTTCGTGTCCCCGCGCGCGGTGTGCGCGCTCACAGCGCGCGGAAAAGGTTAAATTCAAAATGTTTACATGATTTGGATTCCTCTTAACGAAATTGACAATTTACATTAATTTCAGTCACTCTTGACCTTTCATAAGGCCGTGAGCGCGCGTCAAAGTTCAAAATCCGCGCGTGCTGCTATGGGCAATATAATGCAAATTTCATCAAAAACATGCCATTTTAAAAAACGAAATAGCTCTTCAGATAGTCCATCGACCCCCAATTTTTATATCATGGTTGGAAAGAGCATGAGTTGTAGATATGATTTCATACCACCCTGACTCGTACAAAGTGAAATAAAGTCATCATATTGGCATCTAAACTCAAACAAATGTTTTTTTTCGATGACGTCATTTTTGTCTTTGTTTAATTGAGATTATCTCACTTATCGGTGATCGATTTTCTCCCAGAATTTAATATGTTGTAGCTGAGATAATTCTCTATCAAAAATATTTCATTCATTTTTCATTTCGATGACGTCATCATAGTTAAATATTCCATTAAAGGCGACAATGCATAATTTGTCATATTTGCGTGTTATGTCTATGGGAGGTCACTTTTTTCAAAACATGAATCTGCATGACAAGGTGTTTTGACCAGTATCTCGGTTGTTATTCAACAGTTTTCTCCCACATTTTAGTATGTTGTAGCTGAGACTATTTGCTATTTAAATATTCCTTATTTTTTCAATCAGATGTCAGAATCATGCTTGTGCTCATCATCATCATTAACATTATCGTTTTTATCATCATATAACATTATCATTATCATCATCATCACCTTTACTATCATCATCATCATCATGGCCATCATGATCATCATTGTTTACATGTCTATATAACTTCTCCCATTCTCAAATCTATCATAAGACTTAGACAGACCACCTTATTCGTCTTCGTGACGAATTAAATTTCTAGTTTATTCTTTATTTTTATTTATTGTTCCCACTTTTTTGTTCCGACGATAACTCAAGATCAGTTAAGTCAATTTCGTTCAATTTTAACATAGTCATAGGTCATTGTCATAAGACGTGACAGGGACATTTTTAAGGTCATCAAGTCTTCATGACGTCATCCAGGCGCCATTTTATGTTTTTTTGGAGTACTTTCAACTCATGATCATATCTTCATAACGGAAAGGCATCTCTTATTCATATTTATCATGATTAAGGTCAATATCAGTCCGGTCAATTTAAGTTAAAAAAACGCGCGCGTATGCGTACGTCCGCGCGTCAGCGAGCGCGCAAAAAATAAAAATCCTCGAAATCGTCTCAAATTCATTTTGCATACGTTTTAGGCCATTTTAATCATTTTGCAAATAAGTGCGCATACGCACATGCGCGCGCATTTTCGCGCGTACTGGCATTTAGCAACATAAAATCGACAAATTGTCTCCGTCATCATATTTGAATCATATTGCCAAGCATTTTGATACCTTGTTCACCTTTTTCTGACCATTAATAACGGAATGAGCGTCCGTTAAGATACATGTCCGTGCGTGCGAGCTCTTATAATACATAGCATATATGGGCAAAAACATCCCATTTAAAAAATCGAAATAGCTCTTCAGATAGTCCATTGACCCCCAATTTTTAAATCATTATTTGGAAAAAGCATGAGTTGGAGATATGATTTCATACCACCCTGACTCGTACAAAGTGAAAAAAGGTCTTCATATTGGCATCTAAACTCCCAAAAATGTATTTTGTTGATGACGTCGTTTTTGTCTTTGTTTAATTGAGATTATCTCACTTATCTGTGATCGATTTTCTCTCAGATTTTGATATGTTGTAGCTGAGATAATTCTCTATTAGAAATATGCCATTTATTTTTCATTTGGATGACGTCATCATATTTAAATGTTCGATTAAAGGCGACAATGCATAATTTGTCATATTTGCGTGTTATGTCTATGGGAGGTCACTTTTTTCAAAACATGAATATGCATGACAATGTGTTTTGACCAGTATCTCGGTTGTTTTTCAACGGTTTTCTCCTAAGTTTTAGTATGTTGTAGCTGAGACTATATGCCATCTAAATATTTCCTCATTTCTTTCAATCAGATGTCAGGATCATGCTTATGCTCATCATTATCATTAACATTATCGTTTTTATCATATTACATTATCATTAACATCATCATCATCACCTTTACTATCATGATCATCATCATGGTCATCATGATCATCATTGTTTACATGCCTATATAACTTCTCCCATTCTCAAATTTATCATAAGTGAAGACAGACCACTTAATTCGTCCCCATGACGAATTAAATTTTCTAGTATCATTATTATGATTAGTCAAAACATATTCTTTCACATGATTGGTTATGAGAGCTTCCATTTCATTTTTTGAGAGAGGGGCGTTTTCAAAACTGGTCTTTACCTTTAGAAGGCTAGTTTAGATATTTATATAGCTTTTAACTATACAGACGTTCAAATACACATTAAGAGGGAATACCATACAAAATTTACACAATAATTAGCTAGGGCTAAGAATCCATAAGAATTTAGAAAGTTTAATACATCTTGTGTATTTGATGCAATAAAAAATCAGAAAGAGTTAAAGTGGGCGTAAATAAAGTAAGGTTACTTCCATGATAAACAAAAATGAGGTTAAACGCTAGACTGACTTATAAAGGGATACCAGTGTAGTCTCCCTAAGGATAGAGAGCTTTTGGTGATGGAAGAAGGGTAGGAACATGGAAGTTGAAAGGCAATCCAACATTTGTACAGGTTCATTAGTACTAAAGCAGAACAATTAGAGAGACAGGAAAGCGAAGTTTGAAATATATCGGACCAATAAAAAGAGAGTTATGAACGTTTGAAATATGAGATCACTAAATTCATATATGTGAATCTCACGTTGACAATTTGTAAACAAAAATATCATTATTTTCTGCACTCTCTCTTGGGGCACGGCTCAAGATAAATGATTGATAGCATATCATACAAAGTCCTTAAGAGGAATGACCCTCTTGATTCCTACATTTTGAAAAGAAAATGATACTTTAGTCATTTTGTGTGTAGAAACAAACTGAAAAGTAGTCCGGCACTACATCACAGTGACATTACCGATTCAGTCAATTTGATGTGCCTATATATAATAGTGATTGCAACCTTTTAACAATTCATTTCTTGGGTGTCCCATTTCGTTCAAATGTTTTACCAGCCTGCTTCCTTGATATGTCTGCCTTCTTTTAGAGTAAAAGTCTGTTGATGTTTGATTTTCCTGGAAGTCTTACCTATCAGTGATGTAGACAGCCAGGGTCACTAGGAGGCCTACAATGGAGAGAGAACATCCTATGTAGCTGAGAATCCTAAAAAGTCGTTCAACTCTCTCTGATCGTCTGGGGATGCCACTCACGTCCTGATGAGAAACAGAAAGCAACACAATGTGGAAATAGAATAAGCTAATTTGGAGATGTATATAGTTGTTTTTAAATATCATCATGATTCATCTGCAGAATTTTACAAAAATGTTTTTTCAAGAAGTATCAACAGTACAAAATGTAAACACCCGACAAGCAATGTGCCAATATTATAAGAATGCAAACTATGCTACGGCTGTGGAACTCTCTGGGATAATTTACCTTTAAATATTAGGCAAATACGTAATGGAAAGGCTTTCGAATTGGCTTTAAAGAAGCATTACGTTTTTCATCTTGCCGTTAAGTTAGGATGGTGCTGAAGAACTTTTCTTTTTGAACAGCAACCCAATGATAATCGTTATGAAGGACAGTTTTTGTTTACACTAATCAAATATGACATGAGAGGTTCTGGTTGATACTTTGAACCCTCTCTAAGCTATTACTCACATAGTACTATTTTCTGAGCGGCGCAACCCCGAAGGAAATAATAACTATGCCTATCACCGAAAATAAGCCATAATGTTGCTGGTGCCTCAAAAATAGTGGATGGTTCATTCCTTTTAAAAAAAAATATATATATAAAGGGGTTAACTATTTATAAAGTTAAAATGACAGCGAAACATGTCTTGTCTAAACTAATAATGACAAGAAATACAAGAAAATTTCTAGAATTAAGGCGGCTAACCTCAAATATATTTTCAATGCTCAGTCTCATTTATATAATTGTATGCATTGTAGGTGCAGGGCACGTATATTTGCGTGAGATACATGACATCAAATAGGGTATTTCCACAATCCACTTTCCATTTTCCCTTCATGTTTAACATCATGTGAGCCATCCCAGACCAATCCCTGCAAGGCAATTCTATTGTGTAGCATATCATAATGACAAAAAGCAGTGAAATAAATTATTTAAAACGAAATCAATAGCTATATGGGAGTAGTTACAACTGTAATTTGAAGTAGGTTAAAGTTCATAGGAAGTGACCCCTAATATGAATCTTTTAAAATAAGGATTACTCTCCTGCATTAATTCAATTTTTTTTTCAATTCAATTTGTTTATGTTTCCAACAAAAATTACAAATCAATCATATGGAAGTTGCTTTGTCGTAATCTGTAGAGGTTTCTTGGTCTTGTGGAAACTTCATCGGACTGTGAATCACATGGTTCGCAGTTCAGGTCCCCGCGAGGCCCTTATATCCTTTGGCAAGAGATCTATATACATTACATTGCCACTCATTAAAGTAGGATGGGACCGTTTATTTGTTTCGATTGGCATGTGTTTAGGCTAGTAAAAGAGCGTATGGCCGGAATAATCTCCATTGAGTGGAGCGTGTGCACTATCATGTGTGGATTAGCAATTTAATCCAATGACCGAGTTAATAATGATCAAAATGTTAAGCACTTATAAACTTAGTATTAAGTGATGTATAAACATGAATGTTATTATCATTAATATCATCATTATTGTTATCATTATTATTATTATCATTATTATTGATATCAAATTCGTATTCTTACCATAAGGACTGCAAAGTTAGTAAGATGATTGCACTGGCATTCGGTTTGTGTCTCGGAAGTGTTGGTCATATTACAGCCATCGCTTAACCAAGCGTTAATGGCATATTCCCAATACACACACTGCGGATTTCTTGCATTTTGCTGAAAGTATATATAATTGTTTTGAGAGAAGAAGACGGGTAAATTTCCTTTGATTATAGAAATTAAGACAGGGTAATTAACAAAAAATATAAACTGTTTAAGAATTGACAATCAAAACCATAGCTCCTCGGTGATCTTCCCATCTATCTCTCGTTTAGCCGTAACATTTTTTCCATTTCTTTTTTGTCTCGGTCTAATATATGTGCGGTAAAGCGACTTCCAAAGTGGGGGGAGGGGGGCACTCACAAAAAGGGAACTTTCTGGAGAGAAAAAAAGGGCATCTACACAGGGAAATCTGAAAGCGAAAATATATATTTTGATTAGACATTGGTATATACCCCAAGATTGTGATTACATTATCAGGGATGATATCAATATTTGTTTCTCTTTATATATCATACAAGATATTGCTCAAAGCATCATACTTTGCAGTTGGGTGTGATGGTCCGAATATTCATTTGCGAGCGAGCAAAGCGAGCGAGGAATTGTTTTAAAGATTTGTGAGGTTGCAGTGCGAAAAATAACATCTTATGAAGAGAAAAAAACAATCCTGACCGGTTTATAAGCACATTTTCATAACGCAAGACTGAAAATACCTTTGATAAGTAAGATAAGTAAATCATCTATAAATGTGAGCATGCTTAGCGAGCGACCTTTCGGAGAAATTGCTCTTAGTGGCTTTAAATCAGGGGCACGTTTAATGGTGAGAGGAAAAGGGGACACTTTTTGAAAGGGATAAGACACTTATTAAAAAGGAAAGGAGCACGTGGCAAAGAACAAAGTGTAGTTATTAGAGGTAAAAGTGGGGCACTTCTTACACCTGAAAGGAGGCATTCACCAGGGATGAAAAAGGCCACTTATGAGGATGGGAAACGGGCATTTGTCGACGGAAAAGAGGCACCCATCAGATTTTAATAGGGACATTTATAAGATGGGCATTTATGAAAAGAGGATAGGTCCCTTATTACAAAGGAAAAGGGGCACGTATCATTGTTAAAAGGGAAATTATCAGAGGTGAAAAGGGACACTTATCGCATCTTCAGGGGGGGCACTGACCAGATATGAAAAGGGGCACTTATGAGAATAAAAAAGGGGCACTTATATCAAAATAAGGAAAATGTGCATTTGTTGAAAAAAATACAGAAAGAAAAGGGGGACCGATCAGATTTTTAATAGATGCTTTTAATGGAAGGGGGGAAGTGGCTCTTATTAAAAAAAAACAATAACAAATTGTAATTATGAGAAGGGGAAGGAAAAAGAGCATGTATTAGATTAAAAAAAGGAGGCACGTGTCAAAATAAAAGTGGCAGATATTAGAGGTGAAAAGGGGCACTCATCAGAGCTTAAAAAGTACCTTTCAGGGGGGAAGGAGCACTTGTTAAAGTAAAACGAGCATCTCTCAGATTTGAATAGGGGCAATTATCAGAGGTGAAGGGGCACTTATCTGAAGTGAAAACGAGTAACTTCTCGTATTAAAGGGTCATTTACCACAGATGAATAGGGACACTTTTCATAGGTCAAAAGGGGCATTTGCGAGAAGGGGAAGGAGCTCTATTTTTCTTTCTAAATGGGGCACTTATAAGGAAAAGGAGCACAGGTGAAAATAAAAGGTTCGCTTATCTGAGTTGAAAAGGGGTAGTTATTAAAAAGGGAAGTAGCACTTCTTTCAAAGGAAAGACGGCACTTGTCATAGTAAAAGGGGTACCTCTTAGATTTGAATAGTGCACAGTGGTAAAGGAGGCACGTATCAACATTGATCAAGGGCACTTCTCCTACCTAAAAATGGGCACTTACTGGAGATTAAAAGGGCACTAAAATGGAAAATTGACACTTATTGCAAAGGGAAATGAGAACTTGTCGAAGGAAAAATAACAGGGGTACTTATCAGAGGTAAAAGGGGGAAGAGGCCTTTTTAGAAAAGTAAATGAGGCACTTTTAGGGTAATTGAAAAAGTGGGGGACACTTTGCCCCCCCCCCCCCTTTTTTGCTATGATTCATGATTATTTACTTCTACATTAAAGAAATGTTACGTTTTGCAGAATTTATTATACAATGTCAATTTTGCATGGAATATGAATAAAAATCAATCAATCAAAAAAATGCTTTTAGAATTTGTGCATTCTAGAACAATCACTGCCAAAGTCACGGAGGTGCACTTTTTTCCCTTTTAAAAATAATAACGTCACTCACGTATCATGAAATGTATTGTGCATAAGTCAAAAATTATTACATAACCTTGATGTATACATATCCAGTATTCGTCTCGGTGGGTTTTACAATTTTGTACAAATGACTTGAAATCTGCCCATTGAGCAGGTAGTATCTACAAACTAGCTTATGAAGAGATTGTGTATCTTACGTGTTTGTGTGCCAGTGTTATGGTGACAGGATCATTCAGATGTTTGGTTACATTCGTACCGAGGCTCGCTCCGATGATATTGGTATTGACCGTGTTATTACGACGCACATCATTGTTCCCTCCACTATGTACCACTTGGTTGTTTTGGCCACCGTCCCTTACAAACAATGCATCGTCACGGTACACAGTAAATGCTATATTCCCTATGGTGTCTTCAATGGTCTCTGGTCCCATGACGATGGCTGCTTGGACAACACCACCACGGTTACCGCTGTCGAGGTTGTCGGTAGATAGCTGGATGTCACTTTCATCAAAGGATTGGCTGTCATCACCGATGATGGAGAAGACAACCCTGCCGTGGACACCATCCGAGTAAGAGTTGATAATCTAAAGGAATGCATTATAAGATTAAAGGCTTGGTCAAATATGGGGCAATAGACCGCCGCAAAAAAAAATCGTGTAAATGAATGTGACTGCGCGCAACAAAGGACTTGCGCATGTTCACTGAGATCTGTGTTATGTCATTCGCGACAATGGTTCTCAAAAAAATGATCGCGCACGACGCTGTTCAAAAAGGCAAAACATGTTAAGGCCAGGAATACAACATTCACTGGCGGGGAAATGCATTTCATGAGGGACACATTTTTCGCTAAATGTCTGTGATTTACATCAAATAAATGGAAAAATTTATTTTTATGAACCATTATTCACTGAACTTTAACATTTTCAAAGTGTGATAATGAGTATATTCATTCAGAAATATCTTTTGTTCATGTGTTGCATGTCATGTATGGATGGACATGCCCTTTGTGGTAATGGAATAGCCCACACTCCTAAAGGTTGGGCTTTGGGCTCGTCGATTAGGCAAAAAGGCTTTTAGAAATGGTACCAAAAAAATAAGGGATGGAGTCATACTAAGTCATATAAAATGTGATTATATTTCCTTGTATTGATAAAATATTACATTGGTTATTTTTACTATTAAAACTTGCAGTACTCAAATTTTCTGCTAGTCTTCTATTTTATCTCCAAGTTCGAAATCCCCCCCCCCCTGTCTCAAACTGAAATGTAAACGCACGAGGCGATCCGTTATCGATATAGCCGGGCTTAAGCTATGGTCACAAATCAGAGCGGCGACCGACCGATTAGTAGCCTGCTCGGTCGCCGCTGGAATTTAGGCATTGCCCAGCGATTTTTGGAGAAGTGGAGCAGGCTGTAGAGCCCCAGCGGTGCCTGGGCGGAGCCCTGTCGATTTCCCGTCGGTCGATTTTAGATCAAAACTGGGCGAAAGGCTGCCGACCGATTTTGGACTAGCCGCCCAGTGATCGACTGATCTCCCGGCGGCGACCGGGCGGCGACTGCTCGACAGCCTTTGACCTAGCGCCTCCGATTTTTGACCTAAATCGCTCGACGGTGAATGCTCGATTAGGTCGGCGCCCGGGCGGCTACCGCCCGGCCACCGAGCGTAGGCTGGGCGGCGAGTGAAAGTTGGCAGGCGCCGCCCGAAATTAAATTCCGCGCTGGCTGATGTTAACGATATTGCACGACGGCCGGCCAGTGATCGGCGGGGCTCCTAAATACGCTCGGTGTCCGGTCGGTCGCGACCCGGGCACCGAACTAATCGAACGTTTGCCGCCGAGCGATTTAGGTCAAAAATCTAAGCTGCACGGTCAAAGGCTGCCGACCGATTTTGGACTTGCCGCCAAGTGACCGACTGATCTCCCAGCGGCGACCGGGTCGCAACCGGGCGGCGACTGCTCGACAGCCTTTGACCTAGCGGCTTTGATGTTTTACCTAAATCGCTCGACGGTGAACGCTCGATTAGGTCGACGCCCGGGCGGCTACCGCCCGGCCACCGAGCGTAGGCTGGGCGGCGAGTGAAAGTGAGCAGGCGCCGCCCGAATTTTAACTCCGCGCTAAAACTTCAGCAGCGACCGAGCGATGCCTTAAAAACGAGCGGTGCCAAGGCGGCCGCCGCTCGGTGGCCGGGAAAAATTGGCTAAAAATCGCCCCTCGGCCGCCGAGCAGGCTACTTTTGGGTAATGTGACCATTGCATTAGCGCGGGAAAGTCTGGCTATGACGAAGCGCAGAGGAATGCCTGCAGATAGGCTGCTACGCCATTGTACGTCATTGTTTGTAATTAGCAGAATAAAATGTTGTTTCATAATGAAAAATAACAAGTTTGGGTAGGATTTCACAATATCATAGTTATGTCATGAATAATTGTTGAATATCTGAATCACAATGAGCCTTTATTTCAAGAGGTGAAAACAGCCACAAATAAATTGAACATTATGATGGGCTGGTAATTACAAACTACTGCAGAATATGTTGCCCAGTAACTAAAGACAATCGACAGAGGAAGTAATGAAGGTCAGTTCATTCACCGACACGCGAGGCCCCCCTCCCCCGGAATTTACGTAAACAAATAATGTTAAGTGGAGTTTTCCTTTATCTTGTTCAATATATTTTATATATTGTATATATACATTGTATATATTTATTCCAGAATTTACAGAAATAAAAACATGAAACAAATTTTGATAAGCTTATAAAATTACTGGCAATTTAATACTAGTTTTATGAAATTTAAAACTTTGGATTAAACTTTCTGTGTGGTGGCTCCTAAAGGACACGCAAACGCATACAAATTGACGTCTGCAACACATTTTTCGTTTTTTTTACGTCCGAGACGTGAAAATCAACAAAAATTGATGTATACCTATATGCAACACATATTTTGTCTTTTACGTCCAAGACGTGTAAAAGAAAATTGACTTATACCTTTGGTAATTTTTTCATTTTTCTGTACTCAATGGCCCTGACGTGACACGCAGACGTGAAAATATATACGTCAAATATTCACGTCTGCGTCTCACAAAAGTCATGACTGGGGGGGGGGGGACGAAATGCGAGGTAAAATCTGTTTTCCGTTGGTATCACCAATGGCGTAATGAGTAATGAGCGGGGTTTTTTTTTGTTGGGGGGGGGGGCAAAACACAATTCCGCATCACCACCACTCTTACGCGTTACATGCAGGCCCCGCGGAACGTTTTTTAAAGTGGGGAGGGGGGCTGAAGTATTTACGACCAGGTAGAGCGTGGCGAAAATTGGCGTGGGGTCTAGGGGCAAAGCCCCGGCGGGGGTCAAAGACGGAAGTTCAGGGGTTACGGCATTTAATTACGGTCAGATGGGCATATTTTGACACCTTATTTTTGAAACTGGCAGGACACTAATTGGTAAGGGGTTCAGGGGGCTGAGCCCCCATAAGCTCAGGGGGTTTGGGTATTAAATTAGGGTCAGATGAGCATCCAGGGGCCGCCTTAGCGCCCCCGTGTGGGGTCCAGGGAGCAGAGCCCCCGAAAGGCTCGGAGGTTTTAGGCATTTAATCAAGGTCAGATGAGCATATTTTGATACCTTATTTGTGACACTGTCAGGTCACTATTCTTTATTTCTATTTCTATTTCTCTTTAACATATTTTTTTTGTTTAAAGTGGGGGAGCTCGAGCCCCCGATCCCCACCATTTAGTGGGCTCTGATATGTAGGCTTCTAAATAGGCATATTTTTTTGCCTGACTGTAAATATGGGAATTTTTCATTGTCCAACAAACGCAAACAAAAAGGTATGATTTACAAAAAAAGTGAGAAAAAATAATGGAAAATAATGTAATTTTAGCAACATTTGTAAATCACTGGTATCGAATTAGAAATAAAACACGTTTGAATATTATTCGGGGGCAACTGCCACCAAGCCCCCCCCCCCCTCCTCCCCCCCCCCCTACCCGCCCCAACAGTACGCCAGTGGGTATCACGGTGATACCAACGAAATACAGATTTTTATCAATATTTACTTGTTCTTTTTGAAGGATATTATGCGAGGGAGCGTAGCGACCGAGCAAAAAGACTTTTGCATTTGTATTAGTCTAAACGCTGCACTCTTGGGTCTTCCAGAGCCTACCAGTGTGTTGGTGTCTTTATTCAGTATTTGCTATAGATTTTCTTTTTGCTCATTTTCAAATTTTCCGGGGGGACGAACCCACCGGCCAGTCACAGACTCACAGCTAACATAGCTCATTCACATCGTACACAGACAATAGCGTTTGCAACAAACTGGCTCACGTCGACCAAAACTTACCATAATTTAGCGGAAACACATATAACACGCAATATATGTCCACCAGGATGAAACAAAATCACACATTTTTCGAAATAAAGTGAACAAAAAATAGAGACAGTGAACAGAAATACAAAAAAAAAGGAGAAATAAAAGATAAAAAGGGACGGTTCGTTGTCACACAATTATGCTACGTTTACATTATGTTCCCGGCGGCCGCGGCAGCCCCGTTTGCCCGAAATGGAGTGCGCCGTGGGATTTTCGCAATTTTTTTCTCTGTATTCAAGTTTTGTTAGGTCTTGTCAAGTTTTCTCAGGGTCTATCACGTTATCCGTGACGGGCCGTGTGGGAAAAGGGGCTGCTGAGTCCCGGATGGTTCCAAATTTTACTACGTTTCGGCCCGCGGTTTACCGCGGATGCCATTACGTTCCCTCCCGGCCCGTCACGTTTTGATGGGGTCCCTCACGTTTTTCACGTTCTGAACAAGGTCTGATGAGTAGATCACGTTCTGTCAAGGCTCTCTACGAATGAAACGTGGACGCCGGGCAGTTTTTAAAAAGAAGGCTTCTCAAGCAATAGCAATCATTGTATCCTGAGATTTCAACTAGACAACATCATGAATGCCCAAGATGAAGTAGATTTTGTGTTTGCAAGTTTGCTGGGTGCATACATCCAGTCTTTGCGTCACCAAGAGGAAGACCAGCAGCAGTTGCAAAGTGGAAATGCCAGAGTTCAGCAGGCAGGAAGAAGGCGATGAGGGCGGATAGGAGGGGCCAAGATCCATGTGGGTGCGCAAATGGCTATAGGAAGACAAAAGGCAGCAGGTGGGCCACTACTCGACATTTCTCACCAGAGAGCTCCGCACCGAAGATGTCAACGCCTTCCAGAACCATCTGAGGATGCCTCCAGAGCTCTTCGATGAGATCAGTAAAGAGTAACACCAGCCATCGAGAGACAAGACACGAAGTTCCGCTCTGCACTACCACCTGGACTGTAGCTGTCATTGACTCTGAAACATCTGGGCAGTGGGGACAATTACTCGTCACTCTCCTATGCGTTCCGCTATAGTAAAGCAGCCATCTGCCATATGGTGCCAGAAGTGTGCAAGGCCATCGTGGAAGTCTACAATGGCAAAATGTTCGCCGTTCCTGTGACGTCCGATGAGTGGAGAGCCCATGCCCAGGAGTTTGAAGACAAGTGGAATGTGCCTCATGCGGAGGGAGCTCTGGGCGGGAAGCATATTGCCATCAGCAAGCCACCTAACACATGCTCCTTGTACCACAACTACAAGTTTTTTTTTCAGTATCCCTCTCCTCGCCTTGGTGGATGCCCAGTTTAGTTTCATATGGATTGAAGTTCGTGGAGTGGGACACATGTCTGATGACCAAATCTATAATGACTCAGAGCTCAGTGAACTCCTCGAAGAAAGCCGGATAGGGTTGCAACCACCGTGCCCTTTGCCCGACGATGACCAGAACCAGGGCATCCCTTACTTCATCCTGGGAGACGACGCGTTTGTCTTAATAAGCTACCTGATGAAGCCGTATGGGAGATGCCAAGAGAAAAAACTAATTTTCAATTACCGGATATCCCGTGGAAGACGTGTGGTGGAGAATGCGTTCGGGATCCTGGCCAAGCGATTTAGATGCTTCCTTGGAACTTTTGAACAGGGACCAGACACAGGCTAGTCTCATTATGTTACTGCACCATTGTTTTCAATATTTGTAATCATATTTTATTACATTGTTATGATATATGTAAAGAAATAGTTTAATGATGGATACTTGCAATGTACTGAATACGGATACTTTCTGCATGTATGATAAATATATTTCAAATGCATTACAGTGCGAGACATCATTGAGGCTGCTGTCGTGCTCCACAATCCGGCGGCGGTGGACGGCGAGGATCTTCAGGCTGCTCCTGCTCCTCTAGTGGTGCGGTTGTGCGGTTGTGCCCTCTTTGGTGGCGTAGCTTGGCCTTCTTTCTTCAAAACTTTGTATTCTCATATTGAAGATGCAGTAATGTCCCGTCGATTGCTCAGACTCGAATGAAACTCCCATGCCGGGCCCGGCTTTTATATACTCCCTCCCAGACCGCGCGCACCGGATCAGAACGCACAACGCGATGTAGCGCGCCGGGCCCGTAAACCGTCACTTGCCGGTACGCGCCGTGATTGAACGAGACGACTACCAGACACCCTAGCTTGCCGTGAGAACCGTGGCAAAACGTGTCATAAACGGGACAAAATGCGCAGCAACCGTGTGGCAACCGTGACAAAACGCGCACCTAACGCGGCAGAACGTGACAAAACTTGAAAGGACCGTGAGATGCCGGAAAATACACAGGATTCCCGTCCCCATACGGACCGCCTCCAAGTTTTGCTATGGCCTATAACGTAAGGTCACGTTTTGTTGCGTTCATCCCGTTTTACTACGGCCTTCTAGGTTTCTCATCCACACTGTCGTGCCAGATTTGTTGACAGTTTAAAAATCTGGTCCGGCATCCATGGCAATCACGGCCTGACACGTTTGCCATTCCGTCCCCCGCGTTGTCTCACGTCCATTTCGTTTTGTCTAAGGTGGCCTGAAACGTGATTGCCGTGACCGCCGGGAGCATAGTGTAAACGTAGCATTACGTGGGTATCGAATGGAGGGCAAGGCATCGCGATAGCTGTAATCGGTATCACGAACGGTCTCAGGTCTCAGGTGTATGCATGCACGGTGACCCTATTGAAATTGAAAATATTTGAATGACATTATGTAACGAGTTCATAACTTAAAAAACGAGTGCAAATGTTCAGAGCGGGTCGTGATTGGTTGGGGATTTTTGTTCATTTATTGTTACATCCCGACCGAGCTCGAATGGGAGAAGACACATGGCAGGTTTTCTTCTAACAATAAATTTGAATTATTTCATTTAATGTTAAGGTTTATAGGACTAAAAGTAACGCCTGGAATCGCTTGAGACGTGTTAAATATGTGAATTTGGTTATCATGATTGTGTATAATACTTAGGTCTAAAACAAAAGCACTTCTTTTGAAGGCTTATACTAAATACTCGGGTCGCGGGGCGCTGGAAAACACTTGGGTCACGGCTAGCTGGGCCATTTTTTTTTATGGTGTCTTCAAAACGGCTTTATAAAGGGGATTTTTTTTTTTAATAATATGCCATCATGTAATCATTACGATATTCTTTGTTGGTTTCCCCTTTCATCTTATGATTTCTTATGGCATTTTTTAAAATCGTTTTTCTACATCTGCAATTCTTTCTCTTCCTTCATTTCCCCCTTCATTCCTCTTTTCTTCTAGGCGTACAAATGTAATTTGTTTCCCCTTTCTTCTATAATTTATTCTTTGTTTTCTACAATTCATCTTCTCTTTCTATATTTCCATCATTCCTTGAAATTTCCAACCTACTACGTTTTATTCCTCACTTATTTTCATATGTCAGTCTTTTAGAAATATAATTTATTTTATTATATCCCTTTGTTTCCCTTCTATTTTTTTCCATCATGTAATTCTTGATTTTCTCCACTCTTTTCTATCTATCTTTATCACTGTTAAATCTGGCCAATGAATTCTCTCAATTATCTTTTGTATATATTTTTCCTTTGTATTCCTCTCTTGGTAGAAATTTCCCACAATTCATTTTCTCACTCTTTCCATTCTTCCTTGTTACTATCCTATTATTAATAGGCCTATCATATTCCCTTGTAGTATTACACTTTCTCTAAAATCCATTTTATCCACCTACTATTTTGTCTTTCCTAATGCCAGCTTTAATTCTTGTCTTCTTATTTTTCTATCATTTAAAAAAAACAGTCGCAACTTACGACTTGTTTCTTAAGTAAATTTCCCTACGCACCCCCATTTAAAAATGGTTAAAAGCCGTCGCTAATTTAAGATAAGATTTTCCCAGCGTGTAGGGCCGATTTGAAGACACCATTAAAAAGAAATTGGCCCAGCTAGCCGTGACCCGAGTGTTTAGCATAAGCCTTTTTGAAGGGGATGGCATCTGATTTATTGAAATCTTCAGTAGTTTAAAGAAATGTCGTCGGGTGCTGTTCCATTCATATGGATAATAAAGGGAGAACGGGAAGTAAAAAAGAGTAATGCTAGGAGTCCACTGGGCCGCGCCAGTTGGCGCCAGTTTGCGCCAATGCAATTTACTGTGGCGCCTAGTGTCGCCAATAAGGTGCCTAGTGGCGTGTAGTTGCTCAAACTGCCTCCCAACTGGCTCGTGGTGGCCCGTAACGGCACCAAATTTGAATGTGGCAGCAAGAAAATTTCAAAATGTTTGAAATTTTCGTCGCGCCACTTGCATCGAGCAATCAGCGCCAAGTGTCCGCCAAGTGGCACCAAATGGCGCGAACATATCGCCCTTTGGCGCAAACAATCCGCCTATTGGAATCCACTGGAATGTAATGGCGCGCGCCAAGTTGCGCCAATGAGATTTCGCGCCACATGGCGCCCCTTGGCGCCAAGGGGCACCTTGTTTGCGCCACTACGCGAGCCAAACGGCACCCGATTGGTGACTACTTCGCGCCAAATGCCACCTGATTGCCCGCCATTCGGCGCCACTTGCCGCCTATAACAACAGGGCGGCATTGCAGGACTTTCTCACAGTGATGGCGGCAGTTCTCCAAGCTCTAGGGATGAGGTTGTGCTGGGCATCCTCCTGGTCCAACATGCGAACGTCCCATGCCTGATATTGGTTCCTGATGAGGTTGTGCAGCATGACGGCAGCTTCAATGAGCAGGCGGACTGTGTCTGGTTCCTGTCTTATCTGGCCAAGGAAGCACTGGAACCGTAGAGCCAGAATACCAAAGGCATTTTCAACCACACGCCTTGCCCTGGACAGCCTGTAGTTGAAGATCTTCTGCTGTTGGTCCATGTTACGACGGCCATAAGGCTTCATCATGTACGTCCTCATGGCGAAGGCATAGTCTCCCACGAAGAAGTACGGCATAGGGTGCTCTTCATCATCATGGGGAAGAGGAGCTGGATCTGGGATGCCTAAAGTGCCAGCTTCAATGCACTCCTTCAGTTCACTGTTGTTGTAGATCTGGGCATCAGACTGATGGCCAACCCCACCCACATCGATCCACAGGAACTGGTACTTTGAATCTACCAGAGCCATCAGGACAACCGAGAAGAACTGCTTGTAGTTGAAGTAAAGGCTGCCTGATTTGTTGGGCTTCTGGAGACGGATGTGCTTTCCATCATAGCCTCCCAGACAGTGAGGAAGATTCCATCTGGCTTCAAAATCACCTGCAACCTCAAGCCAGCCTTCATTGGTTGTGGGGAGGGAGATGACTTCTGCAGCATACTCATCCACTACCGCTCTGGCTACATCAGGGACAAACTTCTGGATGGTTTCCTTGCCCATTCGGAAGTTGAAAGACAGCTCGGCATAGGTGGCCCCATTGGCGAGATGGCGCAGGAAGACGGACAACTTGAGACCAGGGGAATGGCCTTCCTGATGTGGGTGTCCTTTTTCTGCAAGTGGGGTGTAAGCCTGACCAACAGGTCATCAAACATCTCTGGGGACACCCTGGTGTAGTTCTTGAACTTCCTCCTGTCATTCTCACTCAGCTCTTCCATCAAAGTGTGGTACTGTCCACGTTCGGCCCTCAACTGTGGGTGGAGCATGGGTCTAAACCACCAGTTGTGCTTCCTTTTCTTCTTAGGAGGCTCTTCTTCTTCAGGATTGGCCAGCATAAGTTGATAGGCAGTGGCCACCTCAGCATCTCTCATCATCTTCTGATGGAGCAGCATCATCACTCCAACATTATCAAAAGCCTCAGACATATCAAAATTGTAAATATTTAGTAGAGATGTTGTTCATACAGCAGCTGAGAAGGGTCTGAACCAGGTAGCCAATGGCCAGTATTTATTTAGTCGGCAAGTAGCGCCAAGCGGCGGCAAGTTCAAACCAATTTGGCGACCTTTGGCACAAACTAATCACCAAGTGGCGCAAAGTAGCCGTCTATTGGCGCGAATGGCGCCAACAGGGTGAATTTTGGAATCAAATGGCCGTGTAATGGCGCAAACTGGCGCGAACTGGCGCAACATTTTGGAGCAAGCCGGGTGGCATTTGGCGCACGCCATATGGCACCCAGTTTATTCCACTTGGCGACACATGCCGAGCGGACATTAATTCGGCGCCACAGCGAGCCACTACGCGCCAATCACATAATCTTTGGCGCGAACTGGCACCAACTGGCGCCGGCCCAGTGGACTCCTAGCATAAGAGTTCACGTGGTGCCCGATAGGCGGATTGTTCTGCGCCAAAGGGCGATATGTTCGCGCCATTTGGTGCCACTTGGCGGACACTTGCTCGATGCAAGTGGCGCGACGAAAATTTCAAACATTTTGAAATTTTCTTGCCGCCACATTCAAATTTGGTGCCGTTACGGGCCACCACGAGCCAGTTGGGAGGCAGTTTGAGCCACTACACGCCACTAGGCACCTTATTGGCGACACTAGGCGCCACAGTAAATTGCATTGGCGCAAACTGGCACCAACTGGCGCTGGCCCAGTGGACTCCTTACTTCCCCTTTTCTATTGTCGGAATTAATAACCATGACAATGACCTACCCTCCGCCAGGTTGCCAAATGAGCTGCGCATGCGTTAGGTTCCTTCTCGTCGAAGCCACTGACCAGGCTTGAACGCACGCGCATTGTGCGGTCCGCTGAACACTCGCACGGCAGCGAACGGGTCGAGTCTACGATTTGTATTCACGTTTGTGAGGCGGCTATCAGGCTGAATAATGTCGGAAGGAACGGGTAAATTCCATCGTCGCAGTCTTACAACTGAATTGCCATTGGAATACAATTGTAAAGTACATGTATTTACAAGTTAAAAGTACAATAGTCTAAGAACTATGACATATTATATTTTTAAATATCATAACAACTCTATATTAAAATTCAATGCTATGGTAAGGAAAAAGGGATGAGTAAGAAATAGGAGCAAGGAGCAAGGATCGACAATTAAAGGTGAGAATAGAATGAAAGAAAAAGAAAGGAATGGTAAGTAAGAGGAATATATCAAGAAACACATGTGTAATGAGCCTTCTATTAATTAGCTTTAACATTTTCATATCCTCATGACTTATACAAACCATAAACATATACAACATGTATTAACAATTATTATACTATACATTTGACAATAAAACATCAAGTATTGTAGTATTGTAGTAATATCTGTTGTTACTCTATAATGTTAAACCCCCTGTCAGTCAATATCTGTATATTATTTACCCAGGGTAGCCCACATCAGTATCAATACTGCTCTTCCTGCAGATCCTGTAATGTTTATTACCGGCACCTTGCCAGGTACTCGTTTACGCTCGTATAAAGCGTGGCAAGTTTTAATGTTTTGTCAAAGGACTTTAGCGCCAGGCTGGGATTCGAACCATCAACCCTTGTAACGAGAGTAGTGGATGAACCACTACACCACGATACCTCCACATGGTAGGAGAGCTGTCAGTGCATACCTATAGAGGTGACGAAGTTGAGGGGTTTAAGAACGTGACTGGAAATACAAAAGTCGTGGGTTCGATCCCAGACACATTCAGCACTAATGTCCTTTGACAAGATATTAATACATATTTGCTACTCCATACCCATAAAAGAAGTTCGGACCTGGTAGGATGAAGAGAGCCTTTGTGATATAAATTGTCACATCTATCATGGTGACTCTGTGGTAGGAATACTCCCCAGGTAGTGGAAATGGTGCACACTGTGTGCGTGCATGATTCCGATGACCGGGGTAATAATTATATCTGTAAAGCTTTTAGAGACGGTATTCCATATTAAGCACTTGTTAGAGTACTAAAGTACTAACGTCATATTCACTCTTCGTCCAGGTTACTGGTTCTAAATAACAGAGCCTGCACAATTTATTCAAGTAATGGCCTGGAGCAGGGGCAAAGTCAGTGTTTGGGGCTGATGTAATCACCACACCATTGTTTAACACAAAATTGTTTTGAACAAGCAACCTTGACAACTGAGCCAGTATGAAGTCACACTTCGGTAGTGAATTTAATTCCAGATTTATGATTTCTTTCTTATTATAATACCTGTACTACGAGGTTTGATGCTACATGTTGGAAAGCCTGATTGGAAGGCACTTTGCTGGCTAGAAGGATTTCCTCCAAGGCCACGGTGGCTCTGCTGACAGCACCATCCATCATCTCCGCCTCCATGATCAAGCCTTTGTCTAACGTGGCCAGGATGCTTAAGATGTCAACAACTGAGGCAACATTCTAGTATAAAACAACAAAAAGCTATTACAACGATGATGATGGTGACAATAGGCCCTAAAAATGGCAATACTAATAATACCTGTAATAATCATTATAATAATAATAATGATCATAATAACAATCATGATAATTATAATGATGTTTATAATGATAATAAATAAAGTCATAATAATGACGATGATAATAATCATAATAATCATCATAATAATAATCGTGATAATAATAATAATAACAATAATAATGATAATAACAATAATACTACTACTACAAATAATAATAATCGTAACAAGAAATTTAATTCATCATTGGAACGATTTAGGTGGTTTGTTATTTAATCTGAATAACTGGAAGACTATGATATCCTTTGAAGGAGATTAGAATCATATATTATATGGGACGAATTGATGTTGCAGTATACATTGCAGATCATGATGGTGGTAATAGGAATGATGACGATGATCATAAGGATAATAGTAGAGATGACATTTATGACTAGGACAAATGATGAGGATAACGATCATGCTGATTTAAAAATCATGTTTATATAGGTGATGGAATGTGAAGCAAGTACTATAATCACTATACTCAAATACTCCACATATAAATTACGCGTAAACGGAAAATGGGATTCTCAAATCACATTTTGTGGTTAAAATATCACCATGATCCCAACATCTGATTTCAGAATAAATGTCCTCGGCTCGTGCTATTGTGTCTTCATCTTGATATGTGCAAAACCAAAGTCGATCCAGAAAAAAATTATTGGTCTCATATTACCACGGTATATTATGTGGAGATGTCGGTTCGTTCATTTGACTCTCAAAAGATCAGGGTTGAGGGTTCAAATCCCAGTCCGACACTAACGTCCTTTTATCAATATTTACAGAGATGCAATCAATTTTCTATAAATATATGCTGACGTCATTATATGCAAATTCGTATTTTGAGTTCCAAGGCCATTATGGTGATGTTACGATATATTTACTGGCCAAATAAGACGTGAAATCATATTTCAGACTCATACTCTATCCAATCATGAACAAATGGGTGTTCCCTTAGCCTCCCAAGGAGCTATAATGGATTTTGTATAGGTATGTTTTTGCCCATATATGTTATGTACTACAAAAGCTCGCGCGCACGGACATTTATCTTGAACGGACGCTCATTCTGTTATTAATGGTCATAAAGAGATAAACATCAACCAGAGCCCCGCCTTAGGGCCCTTGGTGGGGTCCAGGCCATTTCAAGAATCAAATTAGAAATAAACCATGATAGAATTGTATTTGGGGGGCAACTGCAAAAGCCCCCCCCCCCCCCCCCCCCCCATCAGTACGCCAGTGAGAGGGGCGAAGATGACGGGAGTGATTACCCCCATAGAGCTATATAATAAGCCTTATTGCTCTATGCTACTATACCCCCTCATTGGTTTTTAACGTTTTGTTGTCTTACAAAATTACATTATTTAGCAAAACTATAGTATAAAACAAGCAACATACTTTTTTCACACTTCATATTTACTTTGCCGGTATTTAGTGTGCAGTCCGAAGAGTGGTTTAATATTTTGTAGGTAAATTTCAGCAAGTAGGCAGGAAGGGACTTCTTAAAAGAGCAAGCGGAACCTTTATTTTTGTAGCACTGGTCTGTTTATATAACTCTTAATCTTGTAAACATATAGTGTAAACTGTGTTTACGTGATATCAACGGAATACAGATTTTCTACAATATTTACTTGTACATTTTAAAGGATATTATGCAGGGGAGCATAGCGACCGAGCGAGAAGATTTTAGCATTTTTATTAGTCTAAACGGTGCACTTTTGGGCCTTAAAAGGGCCTAAAAGTGTGTTGCACTCTTTAGTCAGTATTTGCAATACATTTTGTGATCCCCCCTAACAAAATTGAGGGGGACGTGTCCTACCCCCGCCCCACCCCCCTCCCCCCCCCCCCCCCGCCCCATGATCGCCGCCCCATATGATCATGAGTTGATTTTCGGAAACTTTCACAAAATGACGCCTGGATGATGTCACGATAACCTGATGACCTGGAAAATGTTGCTGCCACGTTTTATGACAATGACCTATGACTGTGTTAATTGAGATTGAAAGAAATTGACAGTACCGATCTTGAGTTATCCGCTGCACAAAAAAGTGGGGGTCAAATAAATTAAAATAAATAATCAAGAAAGAAAATTCTGACGAAATCAATAGGTGGTTTGTTGATGTCTGAGACAGACCACCCAATAATAATAAAAACAACAGCAATAATAGTAATGATGATAATAATAATAACAATAACAAATATGGTAATAAAAATCATAATAACAACAACAATATAAAGGGGATGTAGTCTAGTGGAAAAGTCATCGGACTGTAGCTCACAAAGTACGGGGTTCGAATCCCAGCCTGGCACTATACGTCCTTTGGCAAGATGTTAATCTACAGTTTCCACTCTCCACCCAGTTGTTAATTGGTTACCCGGTACGATGTGAGCGTAAATGTAGTTTGTTGAGCATTGGGAGGGTCTGTTAAATGGCGCCTGGCTGGAATGCTCCCTAGGGAGTGGAGAATGCGCAAACATTTTAAGTGGGCAAGCCTTAATCCGATGACTGGGGTAGGAATATATGTAAAGCACATAGATACATCGTCGGTGTATTTGGCGCTATATAAACGCGTAATAAATTATCATTATTATTACAACAACAATACTGAGAGGGTTAGAAACAAAATAAAATTATATTATTTTCCTCAACACGGTAATCTTTCATCAAATCAATGAATTATTGTTCAAAAAATAATAAAATCACCTCTTGTGTTGGTTGAGAAATTGAAACTGTCTGGTGAATTATGTCAAATGCAGCACTGACCCCAGCATAATTAATATTCTTGTCCTGGGAGATCACAGTCAAAAATGATAGAACGTCCTGGACATCAGCAGACATCAGATTCTATCAACAAAACCCACAGTTTTAAATGACCGGTTATCGGCTTTTATTCTTGTGTAATTAAGATATTTTCTTCAAACAAGTGTTACTTTATATAACTACAAATGAATCTATATATCTATGAGTCTATTTTTTTTTGTGAAGGAAATTTGAATATGAATTAGCACTACGACACAGCATAAGATACACATACTTACTCATATAGAAGACTCGCATATTTATTTCAAAATGTTCGATAATTAAAGGTTTGCGATACTGATACCAACAAAGTTAATGATTATGATTAAATCTCTTTTTTAACGATAACATTAGTATCAATAATAATAATAATTGTGATAATAATGTTTCAGTGATCGATATAAATTTAATTAATTAAGTAGATCAAGTGGATTGATTAAATGTATGTTTAGCGCCATCTACAGGCCAATAAATTTGCTGTGAGGAAATGGCACCCTTTTTTATATCCAGTTGATGGAATCTGTTTATATTGGAGGCATCCTTGTGTAATATGGATATTAAATACACATAAGAAGGCAGAATGTAGGTATGTAAAGATGCAATGTCACGAATGTTGTATATAAATATTGATATTCTTTGATTAAGTACCTTTCATGCGCACATAACTCGCGGTGTACATTACATGGGTGTAACTTACAACGTTGAACAGTAGCCAAGACGGTGTCGGCTCACAGCCAAATGTTATTGTTATTTTATGTAGATTACGTCATGCTACTGAAAGGTACACGCATGCAAGAATGTAAACACAGATTAGCCTAGTTTGAGTTAATGTACACAGATGAGTAATTTGAGTGCATAATATGAGAAATTTGGTACATGATTATACATGTTTATATTGATATAAGTGATTTGAGAAGGATACAAAGGGTGTATGTCAGGATTCTGACTTAGTTCAATTAAGCATGGTTACAGATATAGTTAGAATTATATTTAGTTTATATGTAGTGCAAGTTAATGTGTGAGATTAGAAAAAAGAGTTAAAGCAAAGGTTAAAACAAGGGGTTAATTAGAGCACGTGAGGTGCGTATTATTGATAAGAGTCACTAGGTTTTCTCTAAGTATATGTTTTCATGAACAGTTGATTTATGATCCGTTCGATCTATTTCATTTGTACAGTTTTTACGGAGCATTTTGGAGCAACGAGCAAATTGAAACAAAGAAACGACCAAGTACAAAATCAGAGATGCTTCAATTAAACATGTAATACTACTTCTACTACTACTACTACTACTACTACTCTACTACTACTACTACTACTACCACTATTTGTATTAAAATACCAAATAATAATATTGTTATAAACAAGTAAGAAATTACAACTAGATCTTTTTTCTTACGGTCTATAAGAAAAAAGATCTAGTTGAGAATGGATTAGTCCAATTTATCTTTTATTTCATTTCAAATCTTAAGTTTGTAACATGATTGTGTGGATAGAATATGATTTTCAAGCTTTTAAAGGTTAAGGACATTCCGCAGTAACATTCGTATGCACCTTAGCTGTAGAGAGCCAGCTGATCATGTATTAACTACGCACAACACCAGGAACTAACAGACTAGAATAAGATCAAGTTTACCTCTTGTAAGTAGATTAAGAGTTGATCAGCTGTTTTATTGCCACCGCAGTTATCTGAAGGTACCCATGCACAAGGGGAGATATAATCACCGGAGCAGACGGCTCGTGCTATTGGCTCTCCATCTTGATATGTGCAAAATCAAAGTCGATCCAGAATAACAATTATTATTGGTCTCATATTACCACGGTATATTATGTGGAGATGTCGGTTCGTTCTTTTGACTCTCAATATCAGGGTTGAGGGTTCAAATCCCTGTCCGACACTAACGTCCTTTGGCAAGATATTAATCCACATTTTCTACCCTCCACCCATGCAGGTGTAAATCGGCGCCTGGCAGTTCCTGGGGGAATAATGATTGCAGGGCCCCCAGAAAGAACAGCATGATGTGACGAGGCTTATCGGGGTAAAAATTAGTAATAGTATTATCATTATGATCATCAATATGTTTCTTCTTCTTCTTCATCTTCATCTTCCTTTTCTTCATCTTCTTATCACTATTATATTACTATTGCTGTCATTATTATTATTACTACTACTACTAACTGTTGTTATAATGATTTTCATGTTTTATCAAAGATGTTTCCAGTCGGTACTAATCTTAACATTCATGGTTTGCTTTCTCATGTAAGCTTAACTATCTTAAGTCCGAAGCATTTTTTGTCATATAACTGGAATATCAGAAATATTAGTTTATTTGTACCATTGACGGTGAACCATGGACAATCTCCACTCGATTCACTCCATGAATGAAGGTCTCCTGACGAAAACTGGACAATACCATACGGAGATGACCAAGAGGTGTTTGGACATAGAACTAAAAGAGAGAGAGAGAGAGAGAGAGAGAATTTGAATTTCATTATCTGTCGTTGCTGTTGAACATTTTAGGAAGTGATGCAATATGATATCTAAATTGCCTTGGTTTGCTTTCTTGAAAGTCTGTGCAATCGTGTAAAGTCCGCTGCACACCAGACGTTCCTACTGCTATCCGACTTTTGAAGAAAACGCAATTACTTTAGATATGGAAAGTTAAACAAACACCATCTTACTGACCTGTGTTTTCAATAATGAATACTAATTACCGAAATTTTAGTGCCTTTGTGCCTTGAAGTCGGCTGAAAAGCATGTTCCGCTTGAGGTCGCAGATAACTCCTGGTTTGACGTCACTGCAAACCTAGCTTTCCCCGAAATTCCTATTTTTCTATAATTCATATGATTATTCAGAACCGCGATCACAAAGTTCCAATATTCATATCAAATGATTTAGCACATATTTCCAATATCGAATCGTAGTTAGTTGTACAGTATTCACTTGGCATTAACCCATATCATTACACTACAGTGTCTCCTTTTAGTGTATCAAAATGTTGAGTCTACTTCCAATGCAGTACGTTGTGCGATTCTCCAATAAGAGCGATTTAATTGTAACTAATCATTACATGTTGTAAATTGGCAACACAGTATAAGATATAAAATCACTATTTGTATGTACAAATTGGCAAATTTTCGTTAAATTTTGTAATTGCCTTTCACATAGGTTCATCTAACAATCTTTTTCTTCTCCAAACTATGAAGGAGTTAAACACAAGATTCATTCTTGCCAATTTGAAGAGGGAAGACTGTTTCATTTAGAAAATTAAGAAATAAGAAAAAATTCTGAACTCCTTTAGGTTAAATATGATTTCAATTGAGCAAGATTCACCTGTACTTAGTACCAGAAGGATGGAAGGGTCAAAGTAACCGTCAGAGCTTGTCGCCACAGAGAATAATCCGCTCCACAGCAGGTCCATTTCTTCTTGTGTAGTCATGCTACTGTTGGCTATGTAGGCTCTCATATCAACCAACACACCGTCATCTGGTAGAAGTTGATTCACGTGAATGTAAATAGTGCCATTGGTGTCCCTCTCGGTTTCAAGCTCCTCAAACACTGCCTCAAACTATAGATATCAAATGATGCCAACATTATCATGGATGTTTAATCCAGTTGAGTATTTTTACAAAAGATTAGAAATTACCTAGCAACTGTCTTTTCTATAGGCTTTGGTTGTATCTAACCTAGACACTGGTAAAAAAATAGCAAAATATTTTTGGCTAATTTCATGTTTTCTGCCCAATGTTTATGAACTATAAGTAAAATCATTATACAATGGTTATTAATCTCAGTGGTTCAGAATGAAAAAGTGATAAAAAATAAGGAAATAGATGTATCAATGGATATTTGATAATTCTATTGCTATTACATACTGAAAAAAGAAATGAGATTAATATCTCTGTAAGCAAAGCAAATTTCCAAGTCAAATTCATATTGGACAATGGAATGAACGAATGCATGGATATGTGAAAAAAAGAAAAGATAAACATGTATGTATGTATGAAAAAGTTGCTGCTTCATGGTCAACTGACGGACGTAATATAGCACTTCTGAAATCTACAGGTAGAAAGAGAGTAATCACATCACTGTCACACTTGAACACTTAAGTTTCTGAGGCATGTATAATATTGTGTATTGATTATTGATGGAAGCCATTACATGCATGAGAGACTTGCCAGTCATACATGTCCATGAATTTATTTTTAATTTCTGTTTTTATTGGATTGGCCTCCAGAAAACATTCTTTTTTACAAGTTTTTAGCAGATTGTTATCATGTAAATACAACCTTTTTTTTCTTCATTTCATTATTTGTGTTTTTTATGGTTTTGTGAATACTTATCCTTGTGTATTTATGTAACTTATGTATATACGTGTGAATTATGCCCCTTCGTGCATCATATGAACGTGCAATCAGTAATATTGATTTGAGTACAGTTTCTCAAATTTTGTCACCTATGATTGGAGATACTGAGATTTTTGGAATAGACCAATCATATTATTTGCCCGATGACCTTAATTCTACCCTTTTGAAATATTCTTTGAACTCAATAAATTCTGTCCATATAACATATAAATTGTCGTAGTATTCTAACTTTGATAGTATTTCTTCCTTGTTGAATATTCTGAATTTTCAGTTTTCTGTCATAGGAGTAACTGAAACTTGGCTGAAAGACAACTCATTATTGTGCAATATTCAAGGTTCTAGCTTTTTACATAATATTAGTACCGAGAGGAGAGGAGGGGTGTTGGTGTGTTCATTCGGGAAAATCTGATTCATAAACATAGAGGTGATTTAGATATTAACAATGGAGTAATTGAAAGTATATTTATTGAAATAGAGAATGTATGTAATAAGAACATAATTATGGGAGTAATTTAAAGGCCACCTGATCAGTCTGTGCAAGAATTTTTAGATGTAACTGGTTCAGTTCTTCATTAAAAAAAAAACATAGAATAAAATTGTATACTTGATGGTAGATTTTAATATTAATATATTAAACGCCACATCTTGTCATGAAGCTAATGATTTTTTGAATATGCTGGTAACTTTTTCTATGTATCCACTCATTCGTCATCCTTCTCGGGTGACTGATCATTGCGTTTCTTTATTGTATAATTTTATTACTAATGATGTTACTAATAAATTAAATGGTGTTATTTTAGTTGATATCTCAGATCATTTTCCTTTCTTTAGTGTTTGTCATCATAAGATCAAGGTAAAGAAATATGTAATTAACAAAAGACAACTTAAGGACAGTAATATTTTTGAATTCAGTAAACGATTGCAAAATGTCAGATGGAATTTGAAATCAAGTGATGCTAATGTGAGCTATAGTTGTTGTTTGTCTAAATGTATTCGCATTTATGAAGAATGCTTTCCTTTGCAAGAAATAAATATAAATAGACGTAAGCATAAACCATGGATAAATAAAGAATTGATGACAAAAATTAAAAAGAAATGGAAATTATATGAAAAGTCTTTGAAAAATTCATCTGAATATAGGAAAATAGTTTATAAACAATACAGAAATAAAGTTACAAATGAAATTAAGTAAGCTAAATATCAATATTTTAAGAATAAATTTAATCATGATAAGGGTGATATAAGCCTAATTTGGAAAACTATTAATGGTGAACTCGGTATTAAATCTGTCAAACAATGTTTTGAAAAGATTGATATAAATGGTTCCACGATTACAAACAAAGAAGATATCTCTGAAAGTTAAAATGAATATTTTGTCAATATTGGTTTCAATCTAACGAATAATGTGCAATATTCCAACAGTTTCTACAATGAATATTCATTTGTTAATGATAAATCAGCATATTTTACTCCCATATCATGTAAAGTAATTATCGAAACTGTTCTTTCTTTGAAGAATGGTACCATTGCTGGTTACCATGATATTAATGTTACTGTTGTCAAAAAAAGTTATACATTTGATTGGTGTACCTCTTTGTATTGTTCCTAATCAAATGAAAATAGCTAAGGTTATTCCAGTTTTTAAAAGTGGTGATCACACTAATGTACAGAAATACCGACCTATTTTTGTGCTCCCTATTTTTTGAAAAGTGTTTATACAAGCGATTACATACTTTCTTAACATCGTGCAATATTTTGTCGGAAAATCAACATGGTTTCCAAATGGGACACTTCACATCAACTGCTCTTCTTAATTTCATTTATAAAGTTTATAATGCAATTGATTCTAGACATTTTACAATTGGTTTATTTCTTGATTTAAGTAAAGCTTTTGATACTTTAAATCACATAATTGTGTTACGTAAGTTAGAGGCTTATGGTATTCGTGACATTCTGTTGCAATTATTTAAAGATTATTTATCGAATCGTCAACATTTTGTTTCTATTCAAAATCAACAATCTTCATATTTGGCCATTCGATGTGGAGTGCCCCAGGGTTCAATAATTGGTCCTTTACTTTTTTTTAAATGTATATTAATGATATTGTGAGTTCTTCCGATTTGTTACATTTTATATTATTTGCAGATGACACCAGCGTGTTCATGTCTCATATTAATCTCTGTACACTAGTTGATCCGTTCAATTCTGAATTAAATAAATTAAGTGAATGGTTAATAAACAACAAATTAGTTTTTAATGTTGCTAAAACTCAATATATTGTATTCATTAAACGACGTTTTGAAGATAATTTTGTAATCACTTTTATTGATCATCAAATTAATCGTACTTCTTGTGTAAAATTTTTAGGTGTTCATATCGATTAATCTGTAACATGGCATGAACATGTTGGTGTCGCATGCAATCGTGTTGCCAAATCTGCTGGTATTATTTACCGTTTGAGACATTTTTCAAGACATATTTTATTTATTTACGCATTGATTTTCTCCCATGTCGATTATTGTAACCTTGCTTGGTCAAACAGTCAGGATTACTTTATTACTAAATTATTTGTTTTGCAGGAAAAAGCCATAAGAATAATTTCGAATTATTTTTATCTTCTCCCAGTTAAATTTCCTAAACGTTTATGACATTAATAAATTGAATATTGCAATATTTATTTGTACGTGTTCTAGAGGCTTATTACCATCTCCATTTACATCAACAATTGTTTTAAATTGTAACATACATAATTGTAGTACACGTAATGCTGTAGAAAACCATCTGCCAAAAGTTAGAACTAATATTTCAAAGAATACTATTCTTTTGCAAAGTTCCCCATCTATGGCTCTCTAGATTCCAATCCATCTCAAGAATCAACCTTCCGTAAATAGTTTTAAGCGTTCCTTTCGATTGTGTTTATTACATTTGTACTCATCAACTTAAATATTATTTGATTTACAACGTATATATTTGTATATTTTGTTTTCTTCTGTATTATGTCTTCCTTTTCCCCTTCTACTGTTTCCACCTCCTTTCTTTTTCTTCTCAATGTGCTGCCAATTATGTACTTTCTTTAGGGGTCAACGTTCAACAAGGCTAAATGCTCTTTTTCGTTGACCCCTCATTCGACTTAAATTTTCTTTCTGAACCTATTTTATGTTAATTTTGTCGTTTTCTTATTATCTGTTATGTTACCGTTCGACATGTATTTATGAATTTTAAATTTAAATTTGTTCCTACTCTGTATGTATTGTTTATATGTTTGTTTTTATGAAGAATGGAATAAAAATTGAATTGAATTGAATATTGTTTTCTGACTCCTTTCGTTTTCCTCTTTGCTACCCGTAAACTTTAATAAGCTTGCCGTTACAAGGAGCTGGCCAGCATTTCTTCAAAACTAATCAAGGATGTACCCTCAGACTATTAAACTGGGAACAGTGAAGAAGAATGTATAGCATTCTAATTCAGAAATATTACAAATGACTTAACAATTACCATCCCCTTACCTTTCCTTTGATATCATGCGCAAGGGTCTTGTAATCTGAAGATTCTTGATCAGCGTGAAATGTTGTGAAATTTCGTACAAGCTTGAACTTCAGATGAAAAATAGACATATCTGTATTTTAAGAAAAAATCATAGATACTATTTAAATATTTGACATTTCACAAAAGATGTTACACAAAATTCACTTGAAACGTATTTTGTGAAATGAATTTACATTTATATTAGGCTACCTTCACTACCCCCCCCCCCCCCCACAAGTAAATAGGATGTGGCATAGTTTCAAGGGGTATGTGTTGTTTGATATACATAAATGATGTTCTATATACCTCATACATAGTTTCTTATTCCTGATTGGTCAAAACTATTTCACATGACAACGATCATCTCGATCTATACTTGTAATAGTACGCCCAAAACCTGTGATAGTACTCCAAAACCCTGTGATAGTACGCCTAACCCATCCGCGACTTTTTGCACACAAAAATTGAGCGCTTTCAATTTCTTAAGTTGCTAGGCTTCAATCGCACGGTAGGCGCAGCGCGTAAGAATTCAACATGGCGAGTGACTAAGCAACTGATCGAGCTCCAACTCCGAGATTCGAATTACTAAATGAGGACCTATTCATGAATCAATAAAAAGGATGAGGTATATAAAACAAATATGGACTGCCCTGTAATCGGATGGTGGTTGAAATTATCATTCCCTCGGTGGTGTTCATACCAGCCCTTTAATCACGCCCTCGGCTTCGCCTCGGGAGTGATAGAAAGGCCGGTATGAACACCACCGAAAGAGGGATAATTTCCACCATCATCCTCATGAACAGTCAATATTTGTATAATATAGACCTGTCATGTTCTAGTGGACACGTCACCGGACTGTGGATCACATGGTTCGCGGTTAGAATCCCGCCACAGTACTAATGTCCTTTGACAAGACAGTAATTTACATTTGCCACCCGTCATCCGTACGTACGTGGTGGGTATTTATTCCTTGAACGATTTAAGCGCCTTAGGGCAGCTGGGCTAAAGCCATGTTACCAATACGACTCTGTAGGCATATTGAGTTCCCCTGGGGTGGATACGTGCGCAATATAATTAGAGCTGTTAATTATTATTATTGTCATTACTATTATAAACACAAATAAAATAAAGGATCCTGGTGCAAGTAATCCCTGGACTACAATTACATATTCTCAATGATTTGTACTGACAAATATTCCCGGATAATTATCTTTTATTATTAGGGTAATAGCATTTGGGGTAAGTTTCATAAGTGGTCATAGGAAAATAAAGAAATAGTTGGCTAGGGTCCTTGTCTAAAGTTAACAATTCGGATGTAACTGTTTTTGTGTCAAAAGATACCCTACTCCCCCCCCCCCCCCCCCCAAGAAAAAAAATACCTATGATTCTAAGCAGTGCGTGGTTGCTTTCAATATGAGTCCGTTTTCTGGGATACCGACACAGCTATAGTACGCCTGATCAGGGGGGCTCATCTCACCGATGATATAGTTAGATATATCCCGAGTGTCGGGCACCTTTCTCCCATCTCTCCACCAGTCAAAGTGCTGAACATCTTGGAATTTACAATTCAATACTACCATCTCTGATATACCTACAGTTTTATTTCTTGGGTGAATGGTAACGGATGACACACCTAGTAAGGATGAAGAAAGAGATTTCGCTACCATTCATTGTGACATTGTTCCTTATACAAATCTAAATTCTTACGGTGACTTTAGTGATTTGTTCCAACAAACGCAAATTATAAGGAGTGTGTTGTTATAACTACTTCAAATCTTTTTTTTTTTTGTGGCTATTTAGCTATTGCTATTTAGCTGAAACTACATTTACATTTCCAAATCAATGTTCAGAATTTTAAAGCATGATCTCAACAAATTTGTGATCAGTATGTTGCTTGCAATCAGTTTAAACAACTCGTTTTTATATAGAGTGCTATAACCAGAGACAAATTTGATCCATGGCTGAGGCATGACACATAACAGTCATAACAATACTCATTTTTTTAAGTGGCGGTCTTGACATAAACACCAGTTCTGATATTGTACGAGCGAATGGACTCACAATGTCCCAAATGTATCCCACAAATATTTCTATAACAGGCAAAAGATGATTGAAATGTGATATGAATTGTATTTGGCAAACAAGCAGTATTTAGTTTAGAACACATGGAGCTCATACCATCTTGTGTTTGGTCAATGTTGCATGTTGTTCCCGCGTAGAGCGATGAGCACGCACACTGTCGTTCAGCTGGTATGCAGGTACCTCCATTGAGACAAGGATTCGAGGCACAGAAGCCTATTGAGAAAAAAAAAACATTGGTTCAGAGGTATAAGCCTCAATTCCAAGGTCCGGCTCGGATAGGACTTAAAATCTTAGTCCACTGGTTGATACAATCAGTCACTTTGGAGATTTATGCACTTGAACAAATGAGCCAGAAATATCCCTAGATCTTTACAAATGTGCATTTTAGAATAATCACTGCCAAAGTGATGGAGGTATTTCTTTTTAATATGTGATTATTTACATGCCATTCTGATTCTGATTCCAGTTCGAAACTATCCTTTCAGTTCTGCTATGGTCGAGCGGCGAGTTTTTGACCAATTCTGCCCGGCGGCTGCCCGGCGGCTGCCCGGAAACCGAGCAGCGGCCGCCCAGGCATCGCTCGTTTTTAGGGCATCGCTCGGTCGCCGCTGAAGTTTTAGCGCGGAGTTAAAATTTGGGCGGCGCCTGCTCACTTTTCACTCGCCGCCCAGAATACGCTCGGTGCCTCGGCGGTCGCCGCCCGGCACCGACCTAATTGCTGGGCGATGCCTAAATTCCAGCAGCGAGCAGGCTACTGATCGGTCGGTCGCTGCTCAGATTTGTGACCATAGCATTCCTTTAATAGTAAAAACATAAAATACTTATTCATATATCCACATGTGCTGATCAAGCTGCACTGGGGAGTTTTGGGGTTAGTCCATAATAACTAGGGGTGGATGATCCTGGAGAGTTTAATAGTACATGTATTCAATTAGCTACATGTATATACAAAAAAATTGTAAGGGTGCCCTATTTTAGAGGGGCCTCACATATATTGACTACCTGGCGTATTTGTACATCAAATTACTCTATGTAATCTTTATTTATGATCCTAATTACAGAAATACAGAACAAATAAATACACTAAAACAAGAACAAACAAACAAACATTACCTTTTTCACAGGTGTTGCCCTCCCATCCTGGAGGGCAATCACAAGAGAAGGCGTTCACAAGGTTGTTACACTCTGCACCATTTAGGCATTGGTTAGAAGAACATTCATCAACATCTGTGAATTCATTCAATAAAGTAAATTTAAACTCTTCAAAGTTCAGCAATTCAAGTATGAGCGTTGATATCTCTCTTGTTACTATATTATCATACGTGACTATAATTTTATTAAAGAGTCAGTTTATAATTCTTTAAAAAAATGCCCCATTTGTAATTATTATGTGATTATTCAATGTGTAGTACACCTAAATATGGGGCTAATTCTAAAGAAAAATGCTGAAAAATACAGTGTTATTGTCAACAGTGAATTGTCCATTTGTTTGAAAGATGGAATGTGTTTTGAATGATGTTAAGGCTGTCATTATTGACAAAAACAATGCATGTTTAGCAACATTTCACTACTGACTTGGTCCATAAATAAACAAACCTTTCAATGATACCAACGTCATGTATGATAACAAAAGAGATATTAACGCTCAATCTTGAATTGCGGAATTTGTTTTGATGGGTTTTATATATTTGCACTGATTTCTACATGGGCATTATTTCCCAAAACTGTCTAAGGTAAAAGTTCGCTGGTATTTCTTTAAAACGAGTGTTACGAGATTAGCACCCGTTTGTTGGCGAACTTATATTTCTAGCAAGTTTCTGAAACCTCGCCAAGATAGCTGACGACTCGGCGCCGTTTCTTCTGGTTACCTTGTTTAAGATAATTGCTTTAGCAAAAAAGCTATGGAATTGTGTAAATACAATCACTGAAGTACAACATGATGTTTTTAGCTTATTGCTCCCTTCAATTAATGCTCATTTTGATGTAGTGACATTGCAATTTACAAATGGTTGTATCAGAATGATAACAATAAATCTAGGCACACCTTAGGTTCACTAATTGGTGCAATAAGTCACTTTGGAGATAGCCCTTGTACAAATGACCCAAATTTCCCCAGATCTTTTACACATGTGCATTTTAGAATAATCACTGCCAAAGTGATGGAGGTATTTCCTTTTATATAATTACTTTCATGTCTTTCTGATTCCAATTCCGGTTTGCAACAGGTTACCTACTTCATTATCTAAAACAATCCTTTTAGTGTTTATCATTTTAAAGACAAAAAAGGGGAAAGTAATTATTATTCGAAACATCGCTTCCGCCAAACTGTCGTTCGAGGTCTGCAAAACCTACCACTCTGATAATAGGTGCCATAACATTCAGCTTCTCTTCATTCAAATAATTTGGATAAATGAATAGATAAATCAATATCCCAAACTAAATCCATTTTAGGGAAAAGGGGAAATGGTTGCATTGGTAAAATGGACCTTCTAGTTCCAAAAGAGAAACCAACAATGCCTGACAAATAATTATGTCGTGGAAAGCATATAGATAGTGGCATTGTAGACAACAATACGTGCTTATAACTTTACATCTATATACACTGTTGGTCATAATGGTGGAATAATTATTTTTACCCCAATTTATTGAATGATTTTGACAATGATTTATTCCTAATAGATCTTGATAATAGTATACATTCACAGATTTTATTGAATGACAATCGGGGAGTGTTTGTTTTTCGTGACTGCTAAATCATGTGTGTGCTACTATGCTAATCAACTAGGGGACCTACGTCCGTAAGTTATAACTGAGAGTAATTGGGATTAATGCCTCATAAAAGGGCACTAATATAGCACATCGACACGGTTTTGATCCTTGGGGCTCACAGTAACGAGGCGCTAGGGTACGTCGACGCCCCCACAAAAACAAAAAAACAAAGAAAATGCAATAAATTTTCAATAATTCATTGCATTTTGCTCCGACCCCAACATATTAAAACAAATCT